GTCATACTCGTGTACCAATCATACACGTCATACTCGTGTACCAATCACACGTGTCATACTCGTGTACCAATCATACGCGTCATACGCCAATCATACACATCATACCCGTCATACACGTGTACTCATCATACGCCAATCATACACATCATACGCATATGTCCTACACGTCTACACATGTACACTTCACGCGCGTGTACACCATCATCGCATGATATATCCTACACACGGTGCACACACCGTACACATATGTCCTACACGTCTACATGTTGTACACATCGTATCACATATATCCCACACGTCTACAAGGCGTACACATCATACACATGATATGTGGGTGATTGGCGGGTGCTCTGGTGTGGTTTGCTTCTCCTTTCCTATCAAACATCTATCATCCTTATCTACCCTTCTTCTTTTTTATGTTTGTTACTCTCTTGCAACACCTCTAATCTTCTGGCACTCATATGGCCATATTGTGTTGCAAGTGCTGTAAAACTCTTACTAAAACAATTTTTTTTAAACCCATTTCAGACTGGGCTACTTTGAGCGCAACCACAAGTTCTACAACCCCAGTCAGCTGACCAGTGAGTTTGTCCGTCACTACAGCAGTCAGGTGAGTGGGTGGTGGAGGGTGACACTGTCAACTGACCTAATTTTTGTCATTTAACTGACCTACTTTATCTTGTCAACAAACCTAGTTTTTGACCTTCAACTGACCTACTTTATCTGTCAACTGACCTAGTTTCTGTCCATCAACTGACCTAGATTCTGTCCATCAACTGACCTAGTTTGTTCATCAACTGACTTAGTGCATGTCCTTCAACTGACCTAGTTTGACCATCAACTGACCCAGTTCATGTCCTTTAACTGACCTAGTTTGTCCATCAACTGACCTAGTTTCTGTCTGTCAACTGACCTAGTTTCTGTCTGTCAGCTGACCTAGTTTCTGTCCATCAACTGACCTAGTTTCTCTCCCGTCAACTGACCTAGTTTATGTCCATCAACTGACCTAGTTTGTCCATCAACTGACCTAGTGTGTCCGTCAACTGACCTAGTTTCTGTCCGTCACCTGACCTAGTTTCTGTCCGTCAACTGACCTAGTTTCTGTCCTCCTGTCCCCAGGCTGTGAAACAGATGTATGTCCTGGTCCTGGGGCTGGACGTCCTAGGAAACCCGTTTGGTCTGCTGCGTGGTCTGTCCGAGGGCATCGAGGACCTCTTCTACGAGCCGTACCAGGTCAGTCTAAATATAGAAACTGAAAAAACCCCGAACAAAAAAAAACCAAACAAAAAAAAACGAAAATAAGGGAGCCCTTTTCAACTGTGATCCCAATTTGATGATTACTTACTCTTCATTCTAAAGCTTTTCTTCAGTTATCAGTGCTTTTTGCAATTGAAAATATGTCAGTGGGGGTGTGGAAATGTTAATGATATTCATTAATAATAAATAGCATTTGTATACGCTACATTCCCACTCAACAACAAGCTCTATGGTTTTACAATTTTTATTTTTTATATTTTTTGTAAGTGTTTTATTCCTCTCGCAGTTTACAATCTACATTCAAAATCTTTTTGAAATAAAAAAAAAAATTTTTTAAAAGAGCCTGAGTTAGGTAACTGAAGTGGCTCTCATTGTCTGTTTGTTTGTCTGTCTGTGCGTCCCCAGGGGGCCATCCAAGGTCCAGAGGAGTTTGCCGAGGGTTTGGCCTTGGGAGTGAGAAGTCTGTTTGGTCACGCTGTTGGTGAGTGGCTCGGTTGGGAAAAAATGAAATATTTTCGTTTAAAAAAATATTTGTGTGAGGCGTCATGGCCAAATCACGTGAGTGGTTGGCGGGCGCTCTGGTGTGGTTTGCTCCTTCTTTCCTATCAAACATCTGTCGTCCTTTTCTCCTCTGTGGGTGGTTGATGGGTGCTCTGGTGTGGTTTGCTCCTTCTTTCCTATCAAGCATCTGTCGTCCTTTTCTCCTCTGTGGGTGGTTGGCAGGTGCTCTGGTGTGGTTTGCTCCTTCTTTCCTATAGAAAACTATCGTCCTTATCTCCCCTTCTTCTTTTTTATGTTTGTTACTCTCTTGTAACACC